TTTACACCCAGAAACCCCCCGTCACGTCTGTCCTCTTCCCCCATAGCCCCACTCGGTCCTCTTCCTCCATAGCCCCACATCCTCCTCTTCCCCCAAGTACTCTGTCCTTTCCCCATAGTCACTTCCGTCCCTCTTCCCCCAATCACGCCGTCCTCTTCCCCAAAAGTCACGTCCGTCCTCTTCCCCCAGCCATCTGTCCTTTTCCTCCACAGTCATGTCCGCCTTTCCTCCATAGTCATGTCCGTCCCTTCCATCTCCAGCAGATGATGATCACACATAATGTGTGGGCCCAGATTATCCCCTTAGGGGCAGAACACCCCCATTTCCCGGGGGCCGGAACATTCTCCTCTTTGTGGAGATAAATTCTAGAAATATGGCCCCTCTAAAAAACAGCATAAACAATAAATGACAAGAAAAGACCACCGACCATCAGGGCCCAAAAAGGGGTAATATGACACTACACAGGCACCAATGGGAAATCATTACCTATGCAGCCAACACAAGATGGAGTGGGGGGGTCGGGAGTAGGACATAGACCCCCTTCTTTGCTGCTCGGGGGAAAGGGAAACATTCCTTTGTAACAAAAATGTATATAAATCTGAGGCTGTTTTAGAATGTCCGGGCTTTCAAAAAGAAAGGGACTTTAAAGGCTAAAAAGTTTAATAGTATAAAATTGTGCTGTTTTTTCTCCTCCTCCCCCCCCCCCCCTGTTCCACACCGCACCCACAGATCGGGGAGGGGGGAGACCTTGCAGTGTAAAAAAACACCGTTTGGGTCTCATCAAAAAAGGGGAGTGCCCCAGTTTATCCTTTACCCCTTTCACCCCAGAACTGTTTTTGTATGTTTAAAAAATAATTTTAGGCCAAAACTGATAAAAAACCCCCAAAAATACGATTTTATGAAAGTGGGCTTTAGAAAATAAAATAGCGGCTTTTAAATTTTTTTTGTCACAAAATATTACCAAAGTCTAGGAAATCCAAATTTCATAAAATAACACTTGTTAAATTCAGGAAAAAAAAAAGCAAAAAAATGACCCATTTATTGTAACAATATAAAAGCCGATTGCAGCGGAAAATAGAATAAACATGCAAACCAAATTTGTGTGGCAAAATGGTGACCCCTTTTGCCCGGTATTATTATGGTGACACTTTTATACCCCCTTCTAGGTCATCATTATAGAGAGGGGAGGTCTTTCCTAAATTATCCTCTCATTCTGGTGTACCGGCGATGTGAAACGTGTTACAACAATGTTATCAGTGTAGGGCTCAGCTGTGCTTTACTTTGGTTTGCATATTTTGGGGGGGAGGGGGGGCCTTAAAATTTTTTAAAGGGAGGAGTTATGTATTTGGTTGTAATTTTTAATTGTTTAAAATTAAAACTTTTTAAGTAAAAAAAAAAGTAAAAACATTTTTACTTAAGGGGACAAAATCCCTCTATGGGGAATTTTGATGACAGGTTCTCTTTATTGAGACATCCCGGTTTTAAAAAACCCCCAATGTCTCCCCTGTACTCCATTGGGGTTAAGTAGAGCACTCGCCCCTTCATTCTTTTCTGGCCTCGAGGGCTGGAAATCTGTATAATGTCACTTTTGGGTCGGACAGAAGGGAATAAAATGTCCCCTCTCCCCATCCCCTCTACCCCCGCACCCCTGACCCGGGCCCACAGATGGGCAAGCAAGCGGGGGAAACATAGTAGGTCAGGAGAGGTTTCACACACACGGGGTGGAGAGGCTGGCACCGAAAGGAGAGCCCGCGGCTTGCCCCAGCAGGGGTAAAGATTTTCACAAAACTTTCCCCGGCCCCAGAACTACATGCCCGGGGTCGGGTGATGTAAAGTGCCATCCCTGCATATAGCCAATTGACCTCCAGCATGCCTCAAGCAAACTAGTCTAGGGAAAAGGGTCAGATTTTCATTCCTTGTCGCAACTAATACTCATCAAACCGTTCAGAGACCAAACAAACCCCAAAAGAGAAAAGGGGCCCCGGGCCTCAAAAAAATTTTAGTAAACACTAAAATTTCCCAAAAAAAATGTGTTCCCATGGGGGGAGTTCTCCTTCATTTGACTCTGTTTTGCTCCTCCTTTTGCTCTTTCCCATATATTCATTCGCTCGTTTTTTTATACTTTACAACATTTTAAATCCTCTATGGTTAGTTTTACCCCCTTGGGCTTTTAACATCTGATACTGGCTAAATGTCTTTCGCTTTCCCTTGGATTCTTTTTGGGTAGTTGTTCTGTATCTGGTCTGTTCTTTTTTTCGGTATTCTTTTTGATTTTGTACCCGTTTTGCTGTGATTTGGCTTACTGGATGGTGAACAATGATATCTATTTTTTTTTGGTTGTTATTCGTTATTTCACTTATTAATGCCCCTGAAAGAAGGTTGTTTTCTGTTTTTGTCTTTTGTGGTTGTCTTTACGCTTGTTTACATTATGTGTGGCGTCTTGTGTGGTACCCGTTTACATTGTACTTTCTACCTCGGTTTGTTTACTTTTTTTGCGTATTTTTAGCTATGATTTTTTGTTTCTGTCCCTGTTTATTGTGTTACAGGTACTATTGTAGGTGTATTTTTTTCTAATTTCCTGTGTTTATTTTTCCTAAAGTTGAGGTTAAAGAAGAGATAAAAGAGGAGGAGGATGAGGATGGGGGGATTGAGAGGAGTCAGAGCTTCTAAAAGAAACACAAAGAATCTGTACCAGGACACCATGGTGGAGTCATCCAGATACAAGGAACTTACCAGAGAGATGTCCCCGTCCTCTGTTTTCCTCCATTGATTCCACACAGAAGGTCACACCATCCCTCCCCATTACAAGGTTGGTGGGATGGAGCATCTAGAACATGGACTTCATAGAGATGATGTGTGGATATTTATGTGACCTTACATTTTACAGATGAAATTTTTCTCATTTCCTTGATTTAGAGTGGAGATCCAATTGATATAGAATTTGAGGTGAAAGCAGAAGAAGAAGAGCGTATGTGAGGGATGATCAGCAGTCTATGGAGGAGGATGGAATAACGGGGACATTTATAGAGGAGGACACTCCTACAGAGATCAGCACAGGTGGGTCATGAACACTAAATCCATTCCTCCACCCATACTGCTCACTGATTGGTCCAGAGTAGAGTCAAAACACTTGGCAATATCAGTCTGTAAGACACAATTTATGTAACTAGACTGGATTTTTGGAGATTCTGGGGTTCAGCTGGCTGCAAAATGTTAAGTTTTCACCATTAGCATTAACCTAGGCACCTGGGACATGTACTTTGGGTCTCCGGCCCCATATCTGGTTCTAGCAAGATCTCTGACAGAACATTTCTCCCAGGGTTCCTTGCTCTGTGGTCTGCTGGCTGTGCCGGGTGGAGGGATATAGTCTGTAGTGTCTCAGACCCAAGTCACTGAGTGCAGTCTCAGGAGATGGGAGGCAGCGGTGTGGGATCTCTGCAACTTGTCTACAGTAAACATTTAATCTTCCACTGATTACTGAATACCAATATTATGAGTCCTGACCCTTACACTGTATAATTTATATTGTACATTACATACTTCTGACCCCTGCACTATATATTCTATGTTGTACATTACATACTCCTGACCCCTGCACTATATACTCTCATTACATACTCCTGACCCCTGCACTATGTACTCTATGTTGTATTCCATACTCCTGACCCCTGCACTATATACTCTATGTTGTACATTACATCCTCCTGACCCCTGCACTATATACTCTGTTTGTACATTACATACTCCTGACCCCTGCACTATATACTCTGTTTGTACATTACATACTCCTGACCCCTGCACTATATACTCTATTACATACTTCCTGACCCCCCCCCCCACCCCCCTACTCCCCCCCCCTATGAAAGACAACTCCCCTAGACCCCACTACATTACATACTCCTGACCCCTGCACTATATACTCTATGTTGTACATTACATACATACTCCTGACCCCTGTACATTACATACTCCTGACCTCTGCACACTAATACTCTATGTTGTACATTACATACTCCTGATTGCACATACTATGTGGTACCTGACCCTTGCACTATATACTCTATGTTGTACATTACATACTCCTGCCCCCTGACCCTATGCACTATACCCCTACTATCTGTTGTACATTACATACTCCTGACCCCTGCACTATATACTCTATGTTGTACATTACATACTCCTGACCCCTGCACTATATACTCTGTTGTACATTACATATATCCTGTTGTACCCCTGCACTATATACTCTATGTGTAGATTACATACTCCTGACCCCTGCACTATATACTCCATGTTGTACATTACATACTCCTGACCCCTGCACTATATGCTCTGTTGTACATTCCATAGTTTTGTTTTCTGCTCCCCCCACTGCTATATATACACATAATATGGATTCTCATTGTTCCCCCCCATTTCCTACCAGCTGGACATTTTATATCGGATGATGTGATTGGAGCACAGACTTTTACATGGTGATAATAATGTGATAACATCCTCCAACTTTGGACTCTTAAACAGAAAGTGATAATGAGGGAGGAGTCAATACCCCAATGATGGTGGTCTTCAGGATCAGTCCAGTCTTCATCTTGGTTGTTCTCCCCCCATCCTCACTCTCTGACCTCTGGTGGGGCTCAGCCCCGCTGTTCTTCATGACTAAATCATGGAGTAAATAAGGAAGTGCAGTACTTCTTGTGTTGGGAAGATGGCGATGAGTGATAGAGGGGGTGGGGACCCTCGTCCTATAATCCCCTCATCACTGTCCCTCCTATAAAAGACAGTTCTGGTTGTTTCCTCACTCTCTGACTAAGGTCCATGAATAAAGAAATGACCTGGTAGGAGATCAGAGGAGCCATTTCCTAGTTCCCTTGAGGGTGGAATTGTAAGCTCCTCAGAGACCAAGCTGCCTGATGTGGGCGGCGGAGTCCTGGTTTGGGGGAACCAATCAGCTCCTGTCTAGTAATCCTCTTTGTCTTTGTATTTTAGTCCATGGCCGGGAGATGAGGAAAACCTCCGAGGATTGTCTCACTTTGTCTCCAGACTGGAAAGTAGAAGATGAGGACATCACACAGTATAGTCCAGGAGAAAACCCGGCTCTCTCCAATGTCCATCCGGCACCACCCAGTGTAGATGGACCATCGGATTCCTCGTATCCTGAGGAACCTCAGACTGTGCGGGACCGGGCCGGCCTTCCAACAGGGAAGAGCTTCTCCTGCATTGAGTGTGGGAAGAGATTGCAATCTAAATCTGGTCTTAATGTGCATGAAAGATCTCACACGGGGGAGAAGCCGTATTCCTGTCCTGAGTGCGGGAAATGTTTTTCAGACAAGTCCAATCTTTATAAACATCAGAGATCTCATACGGGGGAAAAGCCATATTCCTGTTCTGAGTGTGGGAAATGTTTTTCAGTGAAGTCCAGTCTTTTCACACATCAGAGATCTCACACCGGGGACAAGCCGTATTCCTGTACTAAGTGTGGGAAATGTTTTTCAGTGAAGTCCAGTCTTTTCACACATCAAAGATCTCACACAGGGGACAAGCCCGTATTCCTGTTTTGAGTGTGGGAAATGTTTTTCCCAGACATCCCATCTTTACAAACATCAGAGATCTCACACGGGGGAGAAGCCGTATTCCTGTCCTGAGTGCGGGAAATGTTTTTCAGATAAGTATCATCTTTCCAGACATCAGAGGTCTCACACGGGGGAGATTCCATATCCCTGTCCTGGGTGCGGGAAATGTTTTTCACAGAAGTCTGAACTGTACATACATCAGAGATCTCACACGGGGGAGAAGTTGTATTCCTGTTCTGAGTGTGGGAAATGTTTTACACAAAAGTCACATCTTTACATACATCAGAGATCTCACACAGGGGAGAAGCCGTATTCCTGTCCTGAGTGCGGGAAATGTTTTTCAGTTAAGTCCCATCTTTACAACACATCAGAGATCTCACACAGGGGAGAAGCCACTTTCCTGTTCTGAGTGCGGGAAATGTTTTTCAGATAAGTCCAATCTTTACATACATCAGAGGTCTCACACGGGGAGAAGCCATATTCCTGCCCTGAATGTGGGAAATGTTTTTCGCAGAAGTCCCATCTTTCCAGACATCAGAGATTTTACACAGGGAGAAGCCACTTTCCTGTCCTGAGTGAGGGAAATGTACCTCACTGAAGTCCTATCTTCCTGTACATCAGAGGTCCCACACAACCCTGGACGTGTATTAGTGCCTTGAGTGTGGGAAATGTTGGTGGACATCCCAGTTCTCATGTGGGGAAGAAGCACACCCTGATATACACCTCAGATATACTCCATGGCTGATCTTCATCATGGAAGGTACATTAGACCAGGAGATCAGAGGCCCCTAGAGATGTAGAAGAAGCAGGAGATCAGAGGTCCCCAGAGAAATGGATGAAGTGGTGGAAGAAGCAGTAGACCAGGAGATCAGAGGCCCCAGAGACATGGATGAAGTGGTGGAAGAAGCAGTAGACCAGAGATCAGAGGCCCCAGAGACATGGATGAAGTGGTGGAAAGAAGCAGTAGACCAGAAGATCAGAGGCCCCCAGAGACATGGATAAAGTGGTGGAAGAAGCAGTAGACCAGGAGATCAAAGGTCCCCAGAGACATAGATGAAGTGGTGGAAGAAGCAAGAGATCATAGGTCTCCAGAGACATGGATGAAGTTGTGGAAGAAGCAGTAGACCAGGAGATCAGAGGCCCCCAGAGACATGGATGAAGTGGTGGAAGAAGCAGGAGATCAGAGGTCTCCAGAGACATGGATGAAGTGGGGGAAGAAGCAGGAGATCAGAGGCCCCCAGAGACATGGATGAAGTGGTGGAAGAAGCAGTAGACCAGGAGGTCCCCAGATCATGAGTGGTCCCCAGGAGACATGCCAGATGATGAAGTGGTGGAAGAAGCAGGAGACCAGAGGTGCCCAGAGACATTGATGAAGTGGTGGAAGAAGCCAGGAGATCAGAGGTCCCCAGAGACATGGATGAAGTTGTGGAAGAAGCAGTAGACCAGGAGATCAGAGGTCCCCCAGAGGCGGCATGGATGAAGTGGTGGAAGAAGCAGTAGACCAGGAGATCAGAGTGGTGGACCCAAAGACATGGATGAAGTGGTGGAAGAAGCAGTAGACCAGGAGATCAGAGGTCCCCAGAGACATGGATGATGGTGAGTGACCAGGAGATCAGAGGTCCCCAGAGACATGGATGAAGTGGTGACAATACAATAGTACGATGGAAATCTATCAATCTCTTATGTTTCACCACAAATTGAAAAAATAAAGCAAGTGTGAAGCCAAAAACAATGAATTGTGTGGTTCTCCTATTATGAGGGAAATGACAGATGTGGATGCCACCAACACTTCTTCATGATGAAGCACACAGCACTTCAGGGTACAACAACACCGGGGGGGGGCTTCCCAGAATCCTATGACCCCCAATTCAGAGGGATCACCCACACTTGTCTATCAATCCAAGATCTCCAGCTTTCCTCCAACCCCCATCTCAGACGATGGCAGTGCTGCATCCCATCAGATCGCTGTGCAGATAGACTGTGATATAGTAGAAAAGACACTCTCCATGGTGTCATCAAACACCAATTAATACATTTTGGACTGAAATTTATGATGAAATTTGTTTTTTTTTTTATTGTTTAATAGTAAAAATTCCAAAATATTTTTTTTCTCAAAATTGTCTTCTTTTTTTTATAGCACAAAAAATAAAACATGCACAGGTGATCAAATACCACCGAAAGAAAGATCCAATTGTGGGCAAAAAAGGATGTAAATTTCATTTGGGTGCGGCGTAGCATGACCGTGCAATTGTCAGTGAAATTAACACAGCGCCGTATCACAAGAAAATGGCCTGGTCAGGAAGGGGGGGTGGTAAATCCTCCAGAGGGGATAATGTGGTAAATGGCCTTGTCAGGGAGGGGGGTGGTAAATCCTCTGGAGGGGTAAATGTAGTAAATGGCCAGGTCAGGAAGGGGTATAAATCCTCCGGAGGGGGGGGTTAAGGTGGTAAATGGCCTTGTCAGTAAGGGGGGGTGTGAGGGAGGGTAGGGAGGGTAGGCAGGAGAGAGAACACACAAAGCAGATGGCAAACATTTAAAGCTTTATTAAAAGAGACAAACAAATCACTCAATGGGGAGTAGTGCAGAGAGAGCCCAGAATACTTTGTAATTCAGCCCCGATGGGCAAAAGTAAAAGTCTCTACAGCAGTTTGTAATCCAACAGGGAGGTAAGAGGCAGTTCATAAACAGGTCAGATAACACGGAGAGGCATACATGCAGAGCTGGCTGATGTGATAGTCCCAGATAGAGCTGGTGTGATAGTCCCAGATAGAGCTGGCAGCGTCCTCAGGTGTGATAGTCCCAGATAGAGCTGGTGTGATAGTCCCAGATAGCGTCTCAGCTGGTGTGATAGTCCCAGATAGAGCTGGTGTGATAGTCCCAGATAGAGCTGGTGTGATAGTCCCAGATAGAGCTGGTGTGATAGTCCCAGATAGAGCTGGCAGCGTCTCAGGGCAGAGCTGGTGTGATAGTCCCAGATAGAGCTGGCAGTGTCTCAGGCAGAGCTGGTGTGATAGTCCCAGATAGAGCTGGCAGCGTCTCAGGCAGAGCTGGTGTGATAGTCCCAGATAGAGCTGGCAGTGTCTCAGGCAGAGCTGGTGTGATAGTCCCAGATAGAGCTGGCAGCGTCTCAGATAGAGCTGGTGTGATAGTCCCAGATAGAGCTGTCTCAGGCAGAGCTGATGAGTCCCAGATAGAGCTGAGCTGCGTCTGACAGAGCGTCCCAGATAGAGCTGGTGTGATATATAGTCCCCAGATAGAGCTGGTGTGATAGTCCCAGATAGAGCTGTGGCAGCGTCTCAGGCAGAGCTGATGTGAGATAGTCCCAGATAGAGCTGGTGTGATAGTCCCAGATAGAGCTGGCAGCGTCTCAGGCAGAGCTGATGTGATAGTACCCAGATAGAGCTGGCAGTGTCTCAGGCAGAGCTGGTGTGATAGTCCCAGATAGAGCTGGGCAGCGTCTCAGGCAGAGCTGGCAGTGTCTCAGATAGAGCTGGTGTGATAGTCCCAGATAGAGCTGGCTAGCTGGAGCTGTGATAGTCCCAGATAGAGCTGGACAGCGTCTCAGATAGAGCTGGTGTGATAGTCCCAGATAGAGCTGGTGTGATAGTCCCAGATAGAGCTGGCAGCGTCTCAGATAGAGCTGGTGTGATAGTCCCAGATAGAGCTGGTGTGATAGTCCCAGATAGAGCTGACAGCGTCTCAGATAGAGCTGGTGTGATAGTCCCAGATAGAGCTGGTGTGATAGTCCCAGATAGAGCTGGCAGCGTCTCAGGCAGAGCTGATGTGATAGTCCCAGATAGAGCTGGTGTGATAGTCCCAGATAGAGCTGGCAGCGTCTCAGACAGAGCTGATGTGATAGTCCCAGATAGAGCTGGCAGTGTCTCAGGCAGAGCTGGTGTGATAGTCCCAGATAGAGCTGGCAGCGTCTCAGGCAGAGCTGGCAGTGTCTCAGATAGAGCTGGTGTGATAGTCCCAGATAGAGCTGGTGTGATAGTCCCAGATAGAGCTGGTGTGATAGTCCCAGATAGAGCTGGCAGCGTCTCAGGCAGAGCTGGTGTGATAGTCCCAGATAGAGCTGGCAGCGTCTCAGATAGAGCTGGTGTGATAGTCCCAGATAGAGCTGGGCAGAGCTGTGATAGTCCCAGATAGAGCTGGCAGCGTCTCAGGCAGAGCTGGTGTGATAGTCCCAGATAGAGCTGGCAGTGTCTCAGGCAGAGCTGGTGTGATAGTCCCAGATAGAGCTGGCAGTGTCTCAGGCAGAGCTGGTGTGATAGTCCCAGATAGAGCTGGCAGCGTCTCAGGAGCAGATTAGCTGGTGTGATAGTCCCAGATAGAGCTGACAGCGTCTCAGATAGAGCTGGTGTGATAGTCCCAGATAGAGCTGGTGTGATAGTCCCAGATAGAGCTGGTGTGATAGTCCCAGATAGAGCTGGCAGTGTCTCAGGCAGAGCTGGTGTGGTAAGCTCAGGCAGAGCTGGTGGGAAGCTCCCAGATAGAGCTTGCAGGTCTTCTGGGGTCCCCCTTCCTCCAATGGGTAAGCTCAGGCAGAGCCTGGGCCACTAGAGTCCAGCTGCAGTTGGACTCCTCAGTGGCTGCCCAGCAGAATGGCTCATCAGGAGAGACCAGCACTGACCTCTTAAAACCCCTGAGCAGGATGAGAGGTGGAGGGGGGTCATTAGCAGGATGACAATGGAGGGACTACCTTAATTGAGTTTAGGGACATTTTGGATGACAATGGAGAGAATGGACTGAACAGAAATACAGTAATTGAATTTGTAGCTGTAAACGGGAGGACAGTGGGGAGGATATTATATTTAGGCTAAGGACTGGTTGGACAGGATGGACAAGGAAACACAATAATTGGATTTGTAGCTGTAAACAGGATAACAGTGGGGAGGATACACTAATTGAATTTGGGACCTTTTGTGGAGGGGGTGTGTTAATTACAGCTAAGGGCCTTTGGCCCAGGAGAGTAGAATACTAATTGGAGGATGCTCTTCCTATGGCCAGGAGGGATTAAAGGAAAAGGAATTAATAACTGGGCTGGCAGAGAACTCGTGACACTCCGGATCATTAATCAGGAATTAATAATTGGCCGGGGCCCCTATACCGTGATAGGGGGGTAAATCCTCAGAAGGTGGAGGGGTTAATGTGGTAAATGGCCTGGTCAGGAAGGGGGGTAAATCCTCAGAGGGGGAGGGGTTGATGTGGTAAATGGCCTGAGGAAAGGGGGGGTACAGGAAGGGGGGTTAATCCTGGTCAGGAAAGGGGGTTAATCCTCTTGAGGGGGAGGTTATAATGTGGTAAATGGCCTGGTCAGGAAGAGGGGGTAATTCCTCCGGAGGGTGAGGGGTTAATGTGGTAAATGGCCTGGTCAGAAAATCCTCTGGAAGGGGAGGGTTACTGTGGTAAATGGCCTGGTCAGGGGGGGGGTAAATCCTCTGGAAGGGGAGGAGTTGATGTGGTAAATGACCTGGTCAGGAAGGGGGGGGGGGGGGTAAATCCTCTGGAGGGGTTAATGTGGTAAATGGCCTGGTCAGGAAGGTGGGGTAAATCCTCTGGAGGGGGAGGGGTT